CACAAGTTTTTGCAGTTTATTTATAGCGGCGTTTGGTTGGCGTTTGGGTATTGCGACCAAAATATAACAGTTTAGTTGATTTCAGTCGACAAGAGAAACATTAAAATAATGTGAGATTTGGTTGTGTGTGTATTGAGTACAACATATAGTGTGATATAAAGTACAGAATAAGTATATACTATATTCTGCATATATATAATATATTCAGTAGTGATATAGTGTTGGAGTGAATGAGTGTTTAATATATTTCGGTGTAATGCTGTATATCTTAGTGCATAATGAGTGGCAAAAAAGTGAATACATTCAATAAGATTCAGTTATCGATACTTAATAGCGGTTTAATACCGTTTGAATACGAGGCTCAAAATGCCCTGAAACTAGTGCCACAAAAACCGATTGATTTCAATAAATTCAATGCACACATACAGCTCATGAGAAAGTATGAAGTGCTGCCTAAGATTGAATTTCATGTAAGTCTTATTCCGTGTGTCATAATTACTATTTGTAGATAAATGCATCCCATTCCCCTTAACAACAACACCCATCCACTTGTTTCGTTCATTAAGTGCACTAAAAGTTTTTAATTGCTTTATAATACTAATTAATCCATTATATTAGCATAGATTTACATATGTTGAAATATATTTGAAGCAGTTATAATTTTATTAATATTCATTTAAATTTATTGCATTCCCATTAAGCCGGCTCTTTTGAACGCATAATGTTTAAAATTGTTGTTTAATTAGCCAATGATTCTTTGAGGCCATAATCTAATTCTTAATTTTGATTCAATGTTTATGCAATGAATTATCGTTCAACACATTAAACTTTTGTTTCAATTCTTTCGCAACTCTTTTGTTGATTGTTTCAAAAAGATAAGCAAAGAATACACTATTGGATAAGAGAAAGGCTATTGATAGATGAATATACTGTATTTAATCCTATTTTTATTAATTATTTTAAATTTTGGCTAATACTAATTTTCACTACTGTAATATTAGCATATAATTTATCAATAATTATCATATTTTATAATACAGTATTAAATTATCATTATTTATTAAAAGTGTATTGCTTAAAATTCTGTTTAATTTATAAGTTGATATCAAATTCCTATACAATTCCCTCGAATTAATGTAAATATAATTTACTAAGTCATGGGAAAGCTATTATTTTAGCCTATATTATGTCTATTATTGTTTTCAAATTCTTTGTAACTTTTTCTTTCTAAAAAAACTTTAAAGTAATTTATATGAATCTTAAAGTAAATATTTTCATCATTAGCACTATATTTGTCTATAATTATAAACTAAACTACAATATACTGTACACAGTTAGCATAATCATAGAGATTAATGTCGAAAACTGTTTTTGTTTTGTATATTTTGCTCAAATGTCGGGCTTTTGATAAATTGGACGAAAAAAAGTTTGCGTCAAAAAACGAGACGACAACAAAACACAGCACTAATCACGCACTCAAAGAGGCCAACGATATCAAGAATACATTTCCCAAAAAATGCCTGCCCTGTAAGTCAACAATCTTTGCACTTTTTACAATTTTAAGACCAGAATATATTTGTAAGAATTTTAAATTTAATATCAAATATATCATAAACCAATTCTATTTATATAACAGAATATCTGTTTATAAAGAATATTAATTTGCATAATTTTTGGTTACAACTTAGTCAACAAAGTTAATGTACTAGTATAGCAGTATTTATAACTAAATTTATGTTATTTGTTCATTGAATCATAAAGTAGTTTAAATCATTTGAATAATGATAAATCTGTTTCAGAATATTGTATAAATATTATTCAGTATTATAGGCTATATAATTTATAGCTATGCACTATATTACTATTTGTATAAATTAGTTTAAATTGTGTTTTTATTTAATGTGATTGCAATTGAACTACAGATGACTACAATCGTGTGGTCCTATCATACCTTCCCGATGAACCCGATTCTGATTACGTGAACGCATCCTATGTTGATGTGAGTGAACACAACAAACAATGCATTTGTTTTGGGAATAGATTTCTGAGCAAACTTTTGGCACAAACGCCAAAATTCATTGATATGATGTTTGCATGAATTCAACGAATGCTTTCCAATACAGGCATCAGTTTTATTCCATAAATTCTTGAGTTTAGCTCAAAATTATGACTTAATTAAATA